GGGGTAAAAACGACAAACGGCACATTTACCCTGGTAAATTTGTAAAGAAAAAATAGCAAAGAAAAAAGTGTATTAAATTAAAGAAACCAATTTTACAAAAAATTAAATTAAATTAAAATTTATTCTAACTCTACTAATGAATATTTCCGACGAAATACCAGATTAAGGTTATTTACAGTGTTATCTCTGTAAAACATGCATCCATAAAACTTATATTAAATAAAATTAAAGAAACCAATTTTACAAGATTTATCAAATTAACAGTTATTCTAACTCTACTAATAAATATTTCCGACGAAACACTAGATCAAAATTATTTACAGTGTTATCTCTGTAAAAAATGCATCCATAAAACTTATATTTTGAATTGGTTGAATAATGTAGCTAAAATTAAAATAATTGTAAATCGCATTAATTAGCTTCTAGCTAAAGCAAACATTATATTTTCGAAATTTTTACAGCAATTAAATTTATATCGGCATAGCTTCAAAATATTCTAAACATTTTCAAATTTTAAAATAAGTTTCGTTTTTCTCTAAAATTGCAAACTTAATAGTCAACGGTCTTTGATTTATACGCATGACAAGTATAATCATTAAATCGCGAAAAAAAAATTTTTTTAGCCCTCACCCTGCATTGTTGCTAAAAATTTATCATACAGATTTGTGACAACTGTTTGGGTTGCCATCTGTAATAAAACAAACGTAGTTTGTAAGATATTAATCACAACAGCTCATAGAACCCATAAGTTCTGATCGCTGTTCAAATAAAATTCAAAAAAAAAAAAAAAACGCAAAATTCAGACCCTTCTCCTTGATAAGTAATACTCGTCAATCAAAATTATCTTTCCCAAAATAGTAATGGATTTAAGTATAATGTTAGCTCAGATTATACAATAATGTGAAAATTCTTCAATCCAAGCTTTTACATAAATAAAAATCTTAAGTTTAAATACTTTTAATACTAAATAAAGCGCATACGTGTTAAATATTATTAATATGGCCGATTGGGTACGGTTGTGCAAGTGTACGGTAGTGACAGTCGTCATAAAAGCTAATCTATACTAATTTTGAGATAGGGTCCAAAAAGAGAATGATGAAGCACGTTTGTTCGAACAAGTTTCCATAATTGCTTTCAGTCATCACTACATTAACATGATATTTAGACCTTACTGTTAAGGAGTTGAAAGTAAATGTTTCATATTCGAATTTTTTTATTCAAATGAAAATTGTTGGGTACGGTTTTGACATGTATTTCTTGTCCTTTCCGGCCGAAGAATACGAAGGAGAAAGGAAAAAGAAAAAATATAAGAAAAAAAATCACAAAAAAATATTGATAACTTTGTTTAAAAATTATATTTTATAATATATTTTTATCTTTCAATAATAAACTTTGTTTAAATATTTATGTTGTGGTGTGCTCCATTATTGTTATTAACAACAATTAAAATCATAGGGACCGTTCAAGTATTACGTTAGCATCACAGGGGGGGGGGCGGCGGGTGTTTATTGATTTGCTTATTTTGGGTAAGACCTTTGCTTACTTTTGCTGACAAAGGGGAGGAAGGGGGTAAATAATTGTAATAAATCTGCTTACGTAATACTTGAACGATCCCATATCATAATATACCATTTTGGTGTACTTACCTGTTGTTTTAACCTATTTTTATGTCTGTTACTACCGACCCGAATCGCGGTCACAACCGTCCACATTTGAGGAACCAATGGCCCTTTTTTGTATGATATGATTTTATGACTAATCGTCTTTAAGGACAGTATTTCAGTATTTCCACGTAGACGATTGTTCAAATTACCACTTAATTCACTTTTCTCCCAGGTAACTGATAAATTAACAAAATTACTGCTTGTAAAAAAATGGCACAATCGTACCCTGTCTCCAGTACTAAATGATGACTAAATGATTTTGATATTTGTGCGAAATGCGCCTGAAATAAATATGATAAATAATCATAAAATAAAAATTATAAAATCTTTTGCTTTTTTATGAATCCAACATAGTTAAAAATATTTAATTTATTAATGGCCAGCATTGATTGTTTGCCATGATTAATTATCATGCAATTAAATATTTTCACAAAATGCGTTTGAAATGATCACAATCATGATGATCACATATGTCAGTTCTCAAATGTCAATTCCAACGTCAAAACATTCTAAAAAACAAAATTCCAATCACTCGTTGACGCTTTTTCAAAAAAAGTGTAAGGTCATAACCACCTCACAAAATTGTTCGTTTTTTCACCAAATATACCCACATGAAATCTATATAATAGTACTTCACAATAAAATTTATCCTTAAAAAATGAAACTGTCCGACTGAGTCACGAAATAAAGCAACAAAATGACCGACACCGACACGACGGAATGCACGGATCATCACACTACGACCACTTTTACGACATCTACGACCACAACTGCTGCGACCAGCAGCAAGAGAGGGTCGACGGCGTGCAGTAAGAGCAGCAAGAGTAATGTCTGCTCCAGCGGCAAGAGCAGCAGCAAGCAGAGCAGCAAGAGTTGTAAGAGCTGCAAGAGCGATAAGAGCATCAAGAGCGATACGTAAGAACTAATAATTGTTAATAATAATAATACTAACCCTTAACGAACGAATGTCACTATACTCGCGACATTGTAAATATTGAAAAAAATCGAACGCCGCCATGCACGTGGCATGACGTAACAAGAAGAATTTTGGCTTTTTTTCTATAATTTTCAATAATGACATAATGCCGTCGACTTACAGTCATAGTTCTACAAAAGCGCTCGTTCGTTAAAGGTAAATAATAATAATGAATATTATATATATATATATATATATATATATACTAACTGGCCCGGAAATGTTCTTTATAAAAATATTCTTTAACTTATAACTGATTTTCAAGGTAGAAGTTTGTAGTATATAGGTAAAAGAAGCAACTAACCAAATTAAATGAATGATTTACTGCATTCCCATAG